AACGTGCACTGGCATCTAAACCTCTGCATCTCCAGTGTCTTGATTTATATCCGTTGGGGTCCCCAAGCCCATCAGGCTTGAACTGTGGTCCTGCAAGTAATACATTGATAATACACACTTCCTTTTGAAACTTTAGGTAAATTGGGGTAAATTGTTCTCTAATATTAATATTCTTTAGTGACCTACAATAAAGATAAATACTAGATCATATCTTAAGCACGGTGGAAAAGGTCCACAAAGAGTTCATTGTTCTGATGTTTTTTTCCTCAGTGTACAGTTTTAAGTTCAGTATATGAGGCCCTAGACTCAATGACACAACTTCTGAGCTTTAGTTTTAGAGTAAGGCACTCAGAATAACTTTCAAGGGTTGTGAACATTACAAAACATAGTGTCTCACAAACTAAAGTATTCAACATGGTCTCTATACCTTCAATTACCTTTGGAATGTGTTCAGTACAGAAATACCTATAGTAAAAATAAACAGTAATGCAAAGTTGGTATTCATGGCCAAACTATTTATTAGGGTTTTTTTTTTTTCCTTAAAAACATTCAGTTTCTTCCTTAAAAAAAAAAAAAAAAAAAAAACTAGAATTTAAATACTTCCCATCCCATCCCATCACATCACATACAAGTTTGTATACATTATTTACATCTTTCGAATAAAACATAATTACAGATTTTCTGACATTCAGTATCCCCTTTAAAATAACAATGAAGCAATTAAACTTTGATCAACAACTATAATTTGCATAATCTTGGCACAATTTACAATATAGTACCCATGTTGCATTTCATATTTTAGACCATTTCCCCCTCTAGCTACATTAACAGAGAATTCATCTCTCTCCATGAGAACAGGGTTCTCATCTTTATGCATTCTTTTAAATAAATGCACAACATGAATGCTGCCCGTAAGCTTCCGTTACTTGGCACAGGCAATTTTTCTCTGCTTTCTCTCTTCAGAAATTATTTCTATTGAGGCTTTTGGTGTTCTTATGTTTACCATTCTCCTGAACATTTTTCTAGCAGTAATTTTAAGTAATAACTTAAATGTATAAGAAAAATTTAAATAGAACAAAAAAGTATTCCATAAAAGATTAGTGATCTCACCACCCCAATTATGCATGTACAAAAATAACAAATACATTTTAGTGGTTGTAAAAAACTATTTTCCCTAAAAATAGTTGTTTCTGGAGAACAATTTAAGGAGAAAAATGTTCTTAAATGTATACGCACTAATCTATTTTACAACCCACATAACTATTTCAGAAACAAAATAAAAATGAAAATTTGTGTAAAACTGTAAGAAATATCTACCTATAAGAATTTAATATTAGTAGTAGATGAAAGAGAAACAACAAATTTTAACATCACTAATAATTGCAGCTTCAGTGATACAAAGTTGTCAACCAAAGCAAAAGAAAACCTATATACTGACAGTATTTCAGAATCATTCAGAATGAAGAACTGCAAAATCAGCCGTGTGTGTGTGTTGTGTGTATGTGTGTGTGTGTGTGTGTGTGTGTGTGTGTGACACAAATGAAGAGTAGGAAAACCCAAATTTGTAAAGGCCAGTGATTTTACTATCCGTGGTTGAGAATATTATCCAAAGTTTTCTACTACATAGCACGATATGCAAAAAAGAAAGGGAGAGGGAACTTACACTACACTTATAAAACTGGCTACCTAATATTTTAATTTGTATTTTTTTTCTCTTTTGTTAAAATACAAGTAAGTCCAGCTATGAGTGGTAGACATAGAACAGTCTTAACACCTTCAAAATGAATTCTCTTTGATTAACTTCTTAGGAAAGCCTTAAAAATTCAAGTCGTTTGCTGTCAGAATTTTATGTTCGTTATCATTAAGCCTCTCCACTAAATCTTGAAATAGATTTCTAAACATATTGCATCTCATACACAAGTAAGCTGATAAGTGAGCAACAATGATTCCTACAGTAAATCTTAACACTACGGCAAAACTCTGATGTTTAAATTATACTAGGAGTGGTATTTAAAGATAGAGCTGTGTTTATAAGAATGGTTTATTCTTTAATATATCGAGTTTCAAAATAAGATGTTTTCCTAGTGTACAATCACATTCCAAATTACAAATATACTTTTGGTCCCATATTATTTTCAAAAGACAATTAAAATTTAAAGTTATAAATGACATACTGAATACTTATATAATTCTAAATATGTAATTCATGATAGGAAGGCTTAAAACTTGCCGTAATACATAAAATTTATTCCAATTTCTTTGTGCAACAACCTCCAGCCTTTAATTAAAGTCAAACTGTTCACTTGAAAAAAAAACTGTTTAAAACAAAAAAGAAAACAATAGAGGCAAAGGCTTTGTTTCCTTAAACTACTATTTTAAAGTACTGGATCAATTTTCCCATACTATCCTTCCAATCAAAACTATCCTACAGTAGTCGAACAGAATTCAAAGTTCTAAAGAAAAAAAAAAGAGAGAGAGAAAACGTTTTAGGAAAAGACCTTGGTTTTAAAATTCTATTTAAATACAAAGTAATTAAACTGAATTTTTTAAATAAGCTTTCACACCCAAATGATCATGTCCACTTGAAAACAGTGACATCAGAAAACCATTCCTTTATTCAGTAATGCAGTCAATGTCTAAAGCAGACTCCTCTGCAGATTTAGTGCCTATCATATACTCCTGATTTCTTCAGTGGCTTGGTTCTTAGAGAATAGCCAAGTTATTGAGACTTGGTTTGGTGTTAAAGTAGGTTATGTTAAGCTGAAAAAAGTTTTTGTGCAAATAAATGATGATACTGATTTTTCTTGCATAGTCATAAGTCAATTCTCATGGCACCTATGACAAAGCTCTATAAACATACTTTTGCAGCATACCTGAAATAAATAGTGCTCCAAAGGGAACTACTTTGAAGATCAACTCTCATTTGGATAAGATATGACATACTCATTTTAAAAGAAAGTTCTACAACTTAATATTTGCATCTCACATATTCTACCATTAGAGTGGTTATTAAAACCTCTCTCAGAGAGGGTGTAGACATAGCTCTAAAAAAATCTGTCATTTTATTACTTTCCCATAAGCAAGGAAAATGCTAATTACATAAAGTGGAAATCTGGTGATTACATATGTAAAATATAAATATCCACCTTTCTATTTTCTGATAAGAGATTGTAGTGCTTCATCCATCCTGATAATCCAGGCGGTAACTCAGTCTGAAACACATACTAAAAATATATTCTGCTACCTAATACATTTTATGTTGACCATTTAGAATTTATAAATGACCAACAAACAGAGTTAGGAACAGATGGTGATCTAGAACCTCATTTTAATGTAAACTGTCCTCCAAAGCCACCAGCCAACACACACATAGCCTTGGTATGTCTTTTACAGGAAACAGAATAACCAAGTCAGCAAATGAAAGCCAGGAGCTAACTGAAAATACTTCGCTCTTTCTGTTCACCACCACTCTCCATCATTTAAAATCATTCCTAAAAGTTGCTTCATCATATCAGCATTCAACTAAAGCAGTGTAACAATGTAACATTCTACTTTATAATGCATGTGTTGTGCTTATGAAAGAATGAGGAAAACACCTTCTGCTTTATAACTGTATGAAAAAGAGGAGGGGAGGTGTATACCTTTAATCTCAGAACAGAAAAGGCAGAGAGGTAGGCGCATCTCTGTGAGTTTGAGGCCAGCCTGGTCTACACAGTGAGTTCTAGAGCAGTCAGGGCTATATAGTGAGACTCTCTCTCCAAAATAAAAAGAGAAAAGAGAAAAAAAAATGGGGGGGGATAGTTATCTTGTTTGTCTATAAATACTGAAAAGAATCTAATGGACATTTATACACAAGCTCTCCTGCAAAATCAAATCAAGCTTTCATTCTTATTTTATAAAGGGCATCTTATTCTCAAAGCAAGTTTTTATTAAATTGACTCCCATATACATGCTTTGGTGGATTTTTCCTTACTTATAGCCATCTAACACAATATACAGTGCCAGGTCTTTCCCCCAGAAAATGTCTCTTCTTTGTCACCATATGTACACACATACATACCTCCTAATCTCCCAAAAACTGATTAAATGAACACTTGGAAAAATGACACTCGAGATTCTGGCACAGTGAAAACGAACTTTTATCTACATATAATGGGAAAATAGGTACTTCTAAGCTTCAATTTATAGAAATAGTTTTCTATTTTTACAGTGTACTATATGTAAGGCTTAAAAGAACAGAATGTCTTTCACTCTTTTCTCAACATGCTGCAGCTACTGAAACCCCTTTGTTACTAGGTTAAGATCAAGTTAAATGGACTATGGAAGACTATTCCAGTGAATAAGCATGTGCTTCATTTCCTTCCTATAGAGACAACTCAAAAATCATGACATCAAAGTCTACTTCTGGAAGCAAACCATCATGGTTGATGTTACCTATTTAGATACTACAAGATTTGTTTTTAAGGATATCAGCTAGCTCTCACTATAGTTTATGAATAAGCATTGCCAATAAATGTCCAATACCAGGTTCACCTATTACTTTATTATTGGTACTTGGTGATTAATTGTTATTATAGAAATAAATGGAGAAAAAGGCAGTTCCTAGTGATCATAATTACAAGGAAATTAAACCATATCATTGTTCTACTCGTTGACAAAAAAAAAAAATTTAGCTTCTTTTCCACTAAGCATTTGCATCTATTTAATTTCAGAGCAAGCATTTCTATTTTACCAGGGAAAAGGCATATATCTAAGACGAATGCGTGTGTGTGGTTTTTTTTTTTTTTTTTGTGTATCTTAAGTAGCCTGCTTTCACTGTGCTCAGAATACAATTGCTCAGAGGTATTACCAAAACTGACAAAATTAAATCTGGAAGTCTGAAAAAAAATTTCTCAAAACAAAACTGAAGTGAAAAACACACAGTATTTTTTCTAAAATCCAAATTCCTGAACTTGTTATTGATGATGATAACCCAATAAAGAGTCATGCCAAATAAAATGTAAAGGTTAATTACTAAGCTAGCATTTTTATTGTTTGATATCACTGCACAGAAAAAGATTTCACAGTGGAAAAATAAACTGTGCCAATAATCAAGGTAGTGTATCATTTAAAAATGACAGGCAAACACCAACTCCATTCACTGAATGGAAATGCTAAAAGGTGATTAATTTCCCCATAGTTGTTAAATTCCATGTTTAATGTCTATACCTAAAATTATTTTTAAATTCTCATGGAAGTTGATTCCTAAAAAGTCTCTAGGACTCTATAAGTAATACATACCATTTGTTCCAGGGTTTAAGACAGGACTTTCTAGAATTTGACTCCCCATACTTAATCCTTTCCCTAAGCTCTTCACACAAACTAACACCACCCCCAAACATTCTCTTTTCGCTTCTTCCTCTTTGAAGTAAAAAGGGATTCTTCAGATTTATGGCTCATTTAGCAATTGCTGGGAAACCTCACAATTCAGCATCACCTCTGAAGATGGGAACCCTATATATATATATAAAACCTGAAGTTTACACTTATAGTGCAGTTAACATGTAGAAAGGAGCTGAAATGCAATAGCTATTACATCTCAACATCCTCAAGTTTCAATATCACAGATATTAAGAGATGGAAAAGACCTGCTTGTAGAACTTTAAACATCTGTTGAACAGAATGTATTAGTCAATATCAAAAATAACTAAGAAATAAATTTTTTTGTTTTACATTTATGCTCTACATGCATACCTTTACAAATAAAAAGTTTCTTCAATGTAGTAAAAGCTGGCCATCACCAAATTAGGTAAACTATGGCTTTTATGAAAGATTATTTTACAGCATGCACAAGTAAGTGCCCTGGATAGAAATTCTAATATTGTTTCAGGCTTCAGTTTTTTCATTGTGCTTTGCACCTCAGAAGTGAGCCTGCCAAGGCACTTAAAAACCAGTCTTATGGAGACTTCAAAGTAGGTCACAATTACATAATACAGAACCCAATCCAACAGCATTTCAGCTAGCATTTTCTTTCCAGCACACAGTCTCATAAAAAGTCCTCAAAGTAACCAAAACCAATTAAAAAAAAAAAACCCTGTACATCATTAAGATAAAGTTTGCCCTTTTCAAATGCAGAGAATGGTTCTTGGCTTCCTCTAGCAACAGAATACAGTTTCAGTTTCATATATTAAGAGAAAAGGGAACCCAAACAATCCCCCAAGCCTAAAACAGAAACAATCCAGATAAAATTAAAATATAACAAAACCCAAATGCACTGCACACAGCTTCATATGAGGAACACTGCACAGCGTTGTCTCTCCTTCTATCTGTCCTTTGAGGTGAGTTTCTCAATGAGTTCTTGGAGTGGTGCAAGTTCTCTTCTATCAATAAGGTTGAACTCCTACAAACAACAAAACATACCATTTGCATTTAATTTCAAAGCAGATTGCCACTGACATTTATGGGGAATTAACTTTTGAAGTAAATAAAAGTAGACAATAGTTTTTACTGTTCACTAGCTTAAGCAAATCACTTAACGTCTCCTTGTTAATTGTTCTTTTATCTATGGTATTTAAAGTAAACCCACACTACCTCATGAAATTACTGTGGAAACTAAACGTTGTTAATAGCTGTTAACTACTTTATGTAACACCTGGTGCACAATATGTTCAATAAGTGAGATTCCACTTAGGGATCAAAAAAATCTAGCACATCAAGCAAATGTGGGCATTATATAAATAGTAAGGGTTGATTATAAAATATCAATAAGCCATGTAAGACGAAATATGAGATAAACATATGGTAGAGTACATAAAATATAAAGTAAAGGGGCTGGAGAGATGGCTCAGTGGTTAAAAGCACTGACTGCTCTTGC